ACTCGGCACACACTGCGTCTCTTACCTGTGCTCCTGTGGGCACGCACTCGGCACACACTGCGTCTCTTATGTGTGCTTCTGTGGACACGCACACTGCACACACTGCGTCTCTTACCTGTGCTCCTGTGGGCACGTACACTGCACACACTGCGTCTCTTACCTGTGCTCCTGTGGGCACGTACACTGCACACACTGCATCTCCTACCTGTGCTCCTGCGGGCACACACACACTGCACACACTGTGTCTCTTACGTGTGCTCCTGTGGGCACACACACTGCACACACTGCGTCTCTTACGTGTGCTCCTGCGGGCACACACACTGCACACACTGCATCTCTTACCTGTGCTCCTGTGGGCACACACACTGCACACACTGCATCTTACATGTGCTCCTGCGGGCACACACACTGCACACACTGCATCTCTTACCTGTGCTCCTGTGGGCACACACACTGCACACACTGCGTCTCTTACGTGTGCTCCTGTGGGCACACACACTGCACACACTGCATCTCTTACCTGTGCTCCTGTGGGCACACACACTGCACACACTGCGTCTTACATGTGCTCCTGCGGGTATGCACTCTTCACACGCAGAGTGTCTCCATGTGCTCCCGCGGGCACACACTCTGCACGCACTCGGCACACACACTGTGTCTCTGTGTGCTCCCGCGGGCATGCACTCTGCACACACGCGCCGTCTCTGCACCTTGCAGCCGACAGTTCTCTGTGTACTCTTGTTTCAACAGCATTGCTTTCACACCAGCTCAGAGCTCAGAAAAACGACCTGTGCTGTCCCTCGTGACAGGATTGCGTGAGGTCACACCATCTGGCCTGCCCTCGGCTTCGATTCCTGGGTTTCTGCTATGAGGTCTCCCCCGTTTCATTTCTCCCTTCCTTGTGATTTTCAGCACCAGCTTTGCAGGACGCGGGCGTCTGGGTGACGCGTTCCCGAGCACGCGAACCTCTCTCAGTGCCCGTTGGCTGTAGTGCTTCGCCAACCCGTCGGCTGTTCATCTTGCATCTCCCTCTTCCGTGACTATGATGTGTGTGTGTGTGTGTGTGGGTCTCTGTGTTCAGTCGCTTAGACTTCGGGCTTCCCGGATGTGTAGGTGGGCCGTTATTTTTCTGAGTCTCTTCCTCTCCTCTCTGCTGTCCCTGTCACAGACGTGCGGACGTGCTGGGCAGGAGCTGGCGCAGCAGCTCCCAGGGGCCGCCCTTCTTCAGGCTTTTCTCTCTGTCTTCCTCTCGCGTAATCTTATTAAACTGCCTTCATGTTCCCTAATTCTTTTCTCTACCAGTTTAAATCAGCACTTTTAAATGAGCAGTTTACATTATTGTACTTTTCAACGTCAAAATTTCTATTTGATTATTTAAGTTTATTTTATACAGGGTAGCGAGCCCAGTGTGAAACAGGCCAGAGGTGCAGCTAGCGGGGTCATCCAGTTGACCCCCTTCCCCAGCCTCGGGGCAGGACCTGGCACCTGCCGGCATGTTCTCAAGCCTACCCTCTGTCCGAGATCAGAAACCGGTGACGGGAGGCCCCCCAGTGGGGCTGGCCCAGAGCTGGGTGCCCCGCCCCAACAAGGCCTCTTGGGGGGGCTGTCCCCCGCTAAGCCGCCCAGTGGGTGAGGGCCTGGCCCCCTGTAGCGTCTCCAGAACCCTCTCTCGGACGTGCGCCCAGGATGGCTGAGGGGCTCCCCACGCATGTCAGTCTCTGCCGCTATTGGGCAATGAGCCCATCAGCCCAGCTAAGCCCACTCCAGTGTGGCAGGAATCGGGCCTTCCCGACTCCCCCTGCCCCAGGTCGCATGGCTCTGTGGTGTGGGGGTGGGAGCGAGAGGGAGGGCGCCCCTGGCGGAAGCTCCCCAACCGCCCCTCTCCTTCCCAGGGCGAGTGCTCCCCCAAGTGCCGCCGCCTCTTCGTGCTGGAGACCGTGTGCGTGGCCTGGTTCTCCTTCGAGTTCCTGCTGCGCTCCCTGCAGGCCGAGAGCAAGTGCGCCTTCCTGCGGACGCCGCTCAACGTCATCGACATCCTGGCCATCGTGCCCTTCTACGTGTCGCTGCTCGTGGGCCTGGCGGCGGGCGCGGGCGGCAGCAAGCTGCTGGAGCGCGCGGGGCTGGCGGGCTGCTGCTGCTCTTCCTGTGCGTGGCCATGGCGCTCTTCGCGTCGCTCGTGCACCTGGCGGAGCGCGAGCTGGGCGCGCGCCGCGACTTCTCCAGCGTGCCGGCCAGCTACTGGTGGGCCGTCATCTCCATGACCACGGTGGGCTACGGCGACATGGTGCCGCGCAGCGTGCCCGGCCAGGTGGTGGCGCTCAGCAGCATCCTTAGCGGCATCCTGCTACTGGCCTTCCCGGTCACCTCCATCTTCCACACCTTCTCGCGCTCCTACTCGGAGCTCAAGGAGCAGCAGCAGCGGGCCGCCA